ATGTTATGGTACAAGAAATTTTATGTAACAAATAATTATAAAACACAAGGACAGATCATTTCAGGCCCTACCCATGTATAATGCACACCCTTATTTTGCCCTCAAAAATTTGCACGAAAAAAGTGTGCATTGTACATGGCAAACTATGGTACATCATTAGCTAATGTAAAAGAGGACCTCTGCTCCAAAGCCCCTATCTCCAGACATTAAATGTTTCAAAATCATTTTAATTGTAGACAGTCAAATTTTGTACCACTTTAATTTATCCATTCCCTTATTATTACTGGGTTAACTAAGACTTTGTTTTCAGCAGAGAGATACATATTAACGATACGGTTATGTGTTTGCCAGCTGTGAGATGGTTCATTTTGTGTCAATATGACTGGGCCGTGAATTGCCCAGGCATTTGGTCAAACATTATTCTGGGGTGTGTCTATAGGATTTTTCTGGATGATATTAAAATGTGAATAAATGTGTAAAGCAGATTGCTCTCCCTAATGTGAGTGGACCCCATGTAATCAGTTGAAAGCGTGAATAGAACAAAAGGCTGATCCTCCCATGACCAAGAAGAAATTCCTGCTGCCTGACTGTTTTTTTAGGCTAGGACATAGGTTTATTCCTGTGTTGGACTCAACTATAAACAATAGCTCTTTCTGAGTCTTGAGCCTTGCTGGCTTTCTCACTAGGAATTCTTCTACATCACCAGCTCTCCTGGGCCTTGTTAACTGCAGAACATGAGACTTGTCAGCCTCTATAATCATGTAAGCCAAGTCTTTAAAATAGATTTCTTTATATATATATATATCCTGTTAGTTCTTTTTCTCTGGAAAGTCCTGACTAATATACCAGCTAACGTTGGTACTTGTTTTGTTTACTACCCAAGTGTATTTTTTCTAAATTACAAATTTGGATTATTTTATAGTACATGTCTCCTCACTAGTAAATAATTGAGGAATCTTATTCTCAACAACAATTTATCTATAATTTGCTTAATTCTTCCTTATAAATATGGAATAAAAGCAAATGTGTGTTGGCCTAATAGCCCTGACTGTCATGGTAGAAGGCTCTCCGTCTTGTTCCGATTCTCTCCTGCCGAGTGCTCTGGGAATCCTCAATCTATGCCTCATATATTTCCACAAACAAGTGTCTCCCATGGACTTCTCCTGCTCATTTCTCACTTCTAAAAGTTTACTGCCTTACATTTTCCACAGTTGACAATGCCCCTTCATGAACCATCATGTCTACGATGTTTCCGAAGCTAACTGCCAATTCTTGAAGACCCAGAGGGGTACTCACTTGTGTAAGACTGTGTTCTCCCTGAGTGAGGAAAAGGATTTATCAGCTCTGTGTCACGTCCTAAACAAGGGATGACAGTCCAACCTTGATGAAACTGTCATGAGAGATGCAACTCCAGGAAGAAGCTGAGCTCCTTGTCTATTCAGTTTGACTTTCCCCTCAAAGTTTAAAAATCATAGTTTCAATTTTGGTCATAGAACAAACTCATGCTAAAGGGTATTATTTTCTCTACCCTAAGCTAACCTCATAGACATGTCTCCCAACCAGGAAGCTCAAAATGGAGGGGATGAGCTTCATCCAGCTTCATTCCGAGATCACTGACCTTCCCTGTTGCATTAGGCAGCTTCTTCTAAATTTAATCTTTCTTAAATATTTGTGAAAGAGTAGGAAGGGTAAATATCTTTTTTTAAAAAGTCACTGTTTGGGCAGGGAGGCAAGGGGTTGGAGGGGCTGAGCAAAAAGGAAAAAGGACTCAGGGTCATGGAGAACAGAGTGGTGATTGCTGGAGGGACAGAGATATGAGGGAACTAAATGGTAATGGAAAAACTATAATAAAGATTAAATTAAAAAGACACTATTTTAATGGTGTTCATTTACAGTTATTTTATTAAACAATCATCTTTTACATATCATCACACCTTACCCCTGAAGTGCAAAAAGCAGTCTGAGGTATTAAAACTGAAGAACCATTTGCACATATTTTGTAAGGTTTTCACACTATAGTAACCAAAATATTTAATATAGCTAAATACTACATATAAACTACAAGTTTATAAGAAAGAAACTATAGAAAAAAAATTTGGTTTGTCTTATTATAGATCTGATTCTCCCACTTATGCTGAAAGGGTGGCAAAAAATAAGTTTCTTGCACAATGATATGCCTTGTTATTCAGTTTTATAATATGGTAGATATAACTTAAAAGGTCAATAACTGAAACAGTAGCCATTCCAAAAGCACACAAATCAAAGTGACAAACTAGTTTCAATGATATAATTTTCTGGAATATTTTAATATAATCTACATACATTCAGGGTCATGTAAGTAGCATGGGCTATATTTTTCTTTTTTCTAGATTTTTCCCATTAAATTATAAAATACATTTGTTATCACAGATAAAGTTCAGAACAGTCACATCAAAGTTATTTTGGAGAGTCACAGAGGAGTTCTGCTTTTTCAGTGGTAGATCTTTTTATATTGAAGAAGTCATCCAAAAACTTTCCAGACTTCGTATTACTTTGACTGTGTCTATACCTTGAAAACTATAGTTGAGGCAATTATACGAGGACTATCTGGAAGAAGTCCAGCCACTGTTGATGCAACAAGAACAGTCTGCGTGGCATTGATGTAACCTGGCAGCCAAGGAGAGTGGACTGGAATGCACATATGTGAACAATGATGACTTCACTGTACAAATCAGTGGGGGCAGTAGGTACTGCTGAGTGTGCATGTGTACTGTGTGGCCATCACATTCAAAATGACTGAGCAAGTAGAACAAATCTGCATCAAATTTTGCCTTAAGCTTGGACATTCCTCCATAGAAACTATTCAGATGGCTCCGAAGGCTGATTGGCAGGTTCATCATGACAATGTGCCCATTTATGCCTCACATCTCGTGCAGAGTTTTTTGGTGAAATATCAAATCACCCAGGTGACTCAGCCCACCTACAGCCCAGATTTGGTGCCCTGCAACTTCTGACTTTTCCCAAAACTAAAATCACCTTGAAAGGGAGGTTTCAAGCCATCAGTGAGATTCAGGAAAATATGACAGGGAAGCTGATGCCTTTTGAGAGAGCTGTGTGAGGTCCCAAGTTGCCTACTTTGGAGGGGACTGGGGTGTCATTGTCCTATGTACAATATTTCTTGTATCTAGTACCTTTTTCAACAAATGATTCTATTTTTCATATAACATGGCTGGATACCTTCTGGATAGACCTTGTATAGCTAAACATTGTAACAGAAGCACTTTCTTCTGAACTATTCAAGCAAATTGGAGAAAAGGCACTTTTTGATTTGATGATTGGTTTAATTACATATTAACTTGAGAGTATAGATACTTCATTTAAAACAAATCTAAAATTACATAATGGTCTGAATAATGGGTCACAAATGTTGAATAGAAATTAGTTTCTAAAGCTATTTTTAAAATTAACACAGCAGTTTTAGGATTTGGTGTTTATCATTGAACTGTTTTATTTGTTCAATTGTGTTGATAGCTTGAAGAAAAGAAAGGTTGAGTTCTTCCTTCCTTCCTTCTTTTCTTTTTTTTGTAAGAAGAGTCTTCTTAAAATGGCTTTTTAAAAAATTTTGCGAATAGAGGATCTAAAATTTCTTGCAGCTTATTAAAAGAAAATACTGCATATTCTGCGGCAAGTATAACACCTTCAAGCAAACACCATTAAAAGAAAGCCTCATTCATGCTATTTGTTTTGCCAGCATCAAAATTTGTGGAAAGGAACATTTTTTCCTGGAGATTCCAACAAAGTTCTGCAAAACACACTTAACCTGATTCCTCTTTGTTCTAGGGAAATAAAAGGAAGCTACATTGTTAAAAGACCTACAAAAGAACACTATGCTTACATTTGGGGATGATGCCCTCTTCCCACGGCTACAGTTTGCTTTCCCATGTAATGGTTCTCGAATTAAGAATAGTCTCGGAAGTTGCCTCACTGCTGGAAGCACAGCTGCTGCAGGAGAGTCAACGTATATTGATTGGAACCAGAAGGGGAAACTGATCACAGCCAAGTGAATAATGATCTAGGGTCACTTAGTATCTGTCTGAGGTTAACCATTATTTTTACTGTTTGCTCAGAAATGGGTGCTCCAGAACATTTCTTCCCAGCTGGGTGAAAAATGTGAAGGGATTAATCAAAGAAAAACAACCAAAACTCATGGACACGGACAACAGCACAGCGATTCCAGAGGGAAAGGGATTGGGGGGTAAAGGAGGATAAAGAGGGATAAATAGTGCTGGAAGGAGACTTGACTTGGGGTGGTGAACACACAATAGAATGTACAGATGATGTATTGTGTAATTGTACCCTTGAACCCTATATAATTTTATTAACCAACGTCACCTCGATAAATTCAACATTTTGTTTTAAAAGATACATTTCCCAATAGGCTTTTTTTGTGTGTGTGTAATGAATGTCATCAGACATGGAAATCTGCCAAAAATACAGGAGGTTTTAGAGTGAGTAGTTAAATCTCAGGTGTCTAAATGGCCAATCCAACTAAAGCATATCCCTGGAATAAAACAGACATTATCTGGAATAAAACAAAAAGCAATGTTAATTTTAGCACTACAAATCTAAATGCCATTGCATTGGGTTTTAAAGCTTAGGGGGGAAATGTAAAAAATTTTGTTGTTTTTCTATGCCTATTTTTTATCCCTATAACCAGCAATCAAAATAAAATTGAAATAAAACAATATATGACATCCTGTAAGATCTAAGTCCTGAATAGCGTTTGCTTATTGTCAGTATAATCATCGGTGCCATACAAATATGGCTGACCACATCCATAAGTGACAACAGCAATACCATGAAAATTTTTTCACTAGCATTGTGCTGAAGAGCTACACCTGCAATCTAGCACACCTACAAATGTCAAGTGCTGGCTCGCGTTCAATTCAGATGGAACACTGACTGCAGTCACACATGGTATAGTCAGTGAGCCTTCTCTCCAGAGCAAGGGCCTATGACAGTCAGTCAAAGACTGGGTTCCTTATGCCATTCAACACCAAACTAGTGGGTGCCTTCCTGCGTAGAAGCGCCAGTGAGCACAGGAGAAGGGAAAAGCTCACAACTCCCAGAATGACCATTCCTGATATCAGTGCACTGGTGATGGCATTCAGCTGGAAAGGAGGGTCATTAGGAGAACCTGCAAGTAATAAAACAAACACAGAGGAAAGGTCCAACATCCGATGTATTTACCTTATCCCAAAACATACATGCAAAGCATCTGTCATCAGTATCGTATAGAATAACAGCATGACACTGGATCATGCACCAATCTATCTGACTATATTTCAATCCAATAACTGAAGGATTATATGGTTTAGAAGCCTGGTGTGCCCCAGGGCAGCCAGAAAAAAATAGTCATCTACAAAATTCTATAAAAATTGACCAACAGGTCACATATAAGTTCAGAAATCTTCAGTGACCTATTATTTAAAAAATAACAAACTTATGAAAGCAGAGTTCAATATATTTAGTTGATTACAGACTTGCAATTGGTCACAAAAATTTTAAAATTTTAAAAAAATCATACTTTTAGTTTCAATATATGTTAATTTTCTTACCAAGCTGTGAATTGTTGGTTGGAGTCTCATCTGGAAGGGGGGGAAAAAAGAAAAGCAATATTGTGTCTCCAAATATTTACCTATGCTTTATACAATTCTATAATTACTTTTTACCAATGGGTCTCCTCACTTTCACCCACAAGCTCCTGGGGGAAGGCAGTAATAAAAATTCTCCTAAAACATTCTGCTTTGCCATTTTCTATTCTACATATGCGAAATTTCATCATCTATCTATTCCTTAAGCCCACACTCTGCCACTGCCCTGGGCATACAAATATAATCGTGAAATATACTGTGCTATATTCTTTTCTGCCAGCTTTGCTTCATTATTATCTCTTTAGTCATGTTAGCGGGGGCAGTAATTGTTAACAGCTATTACATTTTTTATAGCCCTATACCCTGTCATTTGTTATTTTGTTACACAGAAATATTCATTATTTAGTGCTGCTCTATTTTAAGTGTTGCCAATTTGCCCAGTGTAATCTACAAAAACATCATTTTAAGTTCCAAGAAGATAAATTCACACTTAATAACTAAATCAAAGGAAAACATGAGGTCTGAGCTTGAGTTGTAGTTGTATTTGCATCTGGGAAGCAAAAAAATTGAAGCTGTTGATTTTTCACTTTTTTTTTTCTGGCAAATAGATGCAATGAACACATTCACTTGGTGTCACAATTTGTTACCCATTTTGTAATCATGAAACAATTAACCCTTGAGCTTGTACAATGAATGAACTTCATATTTGAATTTATATGTGTGGGTGTATATGCAGTCTGTGAGTGTTGGTTATTTGAACTATAAAATGTGTGCAGTTGACTGATTTTGGAGTATAAATATTATTACAATTATTATGTATATAGTGCCATACGGTTTAGAGAGTGCTATTTCATATGTTATCACATTTAATCTTCATGACAGCCATATGGTTTAGATATGAGAGCTACCCCCATTTTACAGATGAAGAAACTTCCATCTGTCACAGCTTGACAGATAAAGTAAACATATACTTAAATAAAAGCTAAGTTTTGGCATTTTTTTCCTAAAATAATATAAATTATCCAAGTATAAAAAATATTTTTAGTCATAGAGATGAATATCTCAAGCTACAAAACTCTAGGATTAGTATTGGAAATCATTGATGGGAGAACTTGGTGAAATATTTATAAAACATCTGATACTATTTCTTTTTAGAGATGTGAGTCTTGGCAGAAAGGATGGTTCTCTTGTTTGATTCCTGAAGTACAATGCCCCAAATCAATGGAGCGTGCGTTCACAGGAATCTTCAGAATGGTGCAGTGCATCGCTATAGCACTAAAAGAAAAACAGCTCTAATTTTCCGTATAAGGCATCCTTAGGAAAATCCTAACCTCTAATCACCACCATTTTGTAGACACTGTCTTCTCATGGAAAGAGATAGGATGAAGGAATTGTGATTAATTCCTCCAAAAGATCTGTGTGGCCCTCTTCTAAGGCAAGCTGCCTCACAGAAACACAGGGGAGAATAGATAATACTCTAAAATTCTTTTCTAACAGTGATTCTTCGCTCAGAAATCATACTCCTTTGCTCTAAAACATGTTTCGATTAAGGAATGGAAAGCTTCTTCCTTCTATATATCCCAAATTAGGCAAAACTGCCCCTACTATTTTCTGCATCCTGAGATGAATAAAAGAAGTCAGAATATCCCCTCCTCTCCCACATTATCACCAACACTTCTACAAGAACAATATCCCAGGCGTCACCCACAAGAACTTGGCTCTGAACAAAATCTCTGTGCGGGGACAAAATGCCAAAAGAGCCAAACCAGCTCCAGATTCCAGGACCCTGAAACTGAAAGCATCCTACCTTTGACAGCTGGCTAAAATCAAAGCATGTAATACTTGAACATTGTTTGGAACTGTATTTGATAGCAGGTAAAGGCAGAGGGAATAATGTTATCTAGTTGCTGTTTCTGGTGTCCTGTAATATTAGTATCATTGAAATTAAAAAAAAAAATTCAAAGCACTGTTGAACCCAGAAAGGGGAGGTACACATTTTCCAGATTTTTGGCACTGCACACTTCTGGTTTTTTGTTTGTTTGTCTGTTTTTTTTTGTGATGTCAACTTGTTCTTAATGTAGATATATAAGCTAAAAGAAACCTTCTGGAGTTAGATCAGATTAGAATGCTAAACTTGGTGGTTTCAGAAAACACAAAGTTAACTGACGACCAGAGGAGAAAAGTGGTAGTAGCAATAGCAGTTGTCCAAGAGCCAGAAGTGGCAAATAAATTGTCATCCTCTGCTTTTCTGTCATATAAGTAGTTAAAATAAATAGGGAAAAATGAACATTAATACAAAGGTATATGTAAAATAAATGTTTTCTTTCTTAGTACAAGCTATTTTAAAAAAATCTTCAATTACCTATGTAATAAATGGACCACGTATTTTAAGTTTAAACCTGCTAAACTTTTTACTTCCCACCCTGATATGTTCATTCACAGTCTATCTCTACCTTTGAACTCTGAGACTGTGGCCTGTTCCCTATACTCCAAGCTCCTGCCAGAGAGCCTGTCCCATGGAGGGGCCATGAATTAACTACCTATAAAACTCAATGATACTAGTTGAACAAAAGTTTGGCTTGGGCTTCTCTATTGGAATTTATGTAAACAACTGACTAGTTACCATTGTTTTTCAGTGATGGTACATTTAAATTTCCAGAATTGTACCCCATGGTAAGCATTTCCCTATCAAATAGCTTTAGTATTTGGGAGCTTAAAAGAAGAACACTTCAGGAGTTTTGTGGATTTTGAATTTTGGGGATAGAAATATTTTCCTAAATCAACTAATAAAATGATTTACTAATGTGGGGTAAAAATATCCAGAATGAATTTGACCTCATTAAAACACAAAACAAAACAGAATTTCTGAGGTTTAACATCTTACTAAACTTGACCTAAGCCAGGTGTCTAGGTGAAAGGAGTGGTTCAATGAGTTAACAAAGCAAAAATCCCAAGTATCAGAGAGGTTTGAAGAGAGCAAATCAAGCCTGAAATTAGGCATCTCTTTATAAAATCAGCCAGGGGACCTGGAGAGAAAAATTCCAGCTGACCTAAGGTAAAAACAGAGTGAGACTCAGGAAAGAAGGTAGCCCTGGTCATTAAGGAGGACATTAAGTTTTTATTGGATTTGCCTGTGGATGGATACAGCTGGATTTCTGAGTTCTGTTTTTATGTGGGATGTAAAATATTATTTTTTCATGGATGTCCTAGTATTCGTGTAAATACCACTCTATATAGTCCTCTACACAGCAAGGCTACTATGATCACCAAAATAGGAGAAACATCCATCCTACTGCTACTTATGTAATTATGAAAGATAAACCCCCACAGAGCGAGAGAGGAATGAAGGGGATCTGCAAGGCCTGAGCATGGCCCTTCGGGGGGTTGCCAGTGGAGAGGCTGAGACGGCGAAGAGACTGCCTTAGTGTGTCGGGGCATAAATGTCCCCTTTTAAGGTGGAAACAAGATGAAATTGGAAAGGAAGAAATCTAGGCATGACATCAGGGGCATTGTGATTAAAGGCATTAGCTCCATGAGTTTTTAACAGATATTTTGGGCAACTAGATATGATGTAGGTGAAACTTTCAAACTTGAACAGTTGGTTAGCTCTAATAGAATTAGAAACTTCTACTTGGTACTTTTCACTAGGATTTGGGGGTCAAAGTACGTTTGGCCTTTTTAAAAATACTCTTACACTAGCACATAATTTAAAATATGTAATATTTAAATTTGAAAAATAAACAATAAATATATTCAGTTTGGTCCAGGTAAGAAGGAGCCAATGATATTAATGAGGAGGAAAAGCCATCTACCTAACATGACTAGAGAGGTGTCACTTTCAAGGTTCTTTTCTTACCGCAAGCTGACACTACATGTGCTCCATAGGGGTTGAAATATCTTTACTGTGCCTACCCCAAAGCATACCTAATAACTGGCAATAGAGCTGAGTTTCCATGCAGTGTGATTCTATAAGCTATATCAGACCACTAGAGAGAGATGAGATTTGGGCCTTTTACAAACCAGTCATTTTCAAACCATTCAAAACATGTACCAAACCCTTAAGGAGTATAAACTAAATTTGAAATTAATAAATTTCTGCATTACTTAAAAGGCCTATTAGTTTGATTCTAAATAATGCTATGTCTGAACAAACACAGAGGAGTAAATAATTAAAGCAATTAATTGTCTGGATTTTTCAGGCCCAAACCACTTTTTGCTTAATTACCAATTTCAGGCAAAATTTTCTTTTCACTTGGGATGGGAAGCTCAAAAGAAAAGGTTAAGAGAATCTAATTGAAACACAACAGTAGACTTATGGCTAATATAAGATAGAGAAAAAATTATTAGAATGTAATCCAAATCAGGATTCCTCTTTTTTTCTTTTCTTTTCTTTTCTTTCTTTCCTTTTTTTTTTTTTTTTATTTTTTACAAGTTTAGAGCTACACAGTTAGAAATAATCTTTAAGGCTACTCTTTTAAAACCTTTATTTCAAAAATGAAGAAACATTTGCCCAGAGAAGTGAAGTAAAATCCCAAGTCACAAAGCTTGTTAAGACAAAAGCCAGAACTACCCAGTTTTCTAAAAATTTAATTTGTGTTGTTTACTCTGCATGTCTGCTTTATTTTGGATGTCTTTGGGTTCGTGCTGACATAAGGCAATATCACTTTAGAGAAAGAGAGAGAGAAAGAATACCTGTGTGCACAAATATGTGTATACATGAGAATACTTGTATACGTGTATGAACACTTGTGTCTATTAGATTAATGAGAATGATGAGAATACTAGATGGAGTTATGTAATAGTCAGGATCTTGGAAGGAAAAAAAAAATGGTACTCAAACTGGGCAATTTAAGAAGAGCTTAATAAGACTATTAATAAAGATGTAGGGGATTCACAAGAGGCAGTAAAATTACCTGAGCTATGGGTGAAGGTATGGGACAGACAGAACTGAGAGATCAGCTCTAAGGAGAGTTTGCCAAGAGCTGTATGGACTTCATGCCCATTCCCTGACAGTGCCATCTATTGGCGAAGCCCAATTAGAAACTAGATGGCAAGGCCACCTATGGACCAAGCTCACATAGACCAGTCTTCTGAGGCAGGGCAGGGAAAGGTATTCTAGAAGATTCAGAGAGGCAAATGAAACTGTCCAGGATCGTATCCTCTGTGTGTGTGTGTGTGTGTGTGTGTGTGTGTGTGTGTGTGTGTGTGTGTGTGTAAAAGGGAAATGTGGTAAAGACAATATTGCCCTTTGTGTAACTTGAGCAAACAGGAAAAAACTGTGAAATTAGCATTGTTTGGCAGTTTATCTTGTCTCACAGTTAATTAGAGCTCTTTAGGAACCACTTTGAGTTCTCCTTAGAAGCCAAGTAACAAGCCATTTTGGAACTGTCTATTACTGCACACAAAAGGAGGGGTACTCTTACCGCTCCGCGTAATGATGGGTCCCGCAGAGAGGATGGCATTTCCAGAAGTGCTCTGGGGGCTCCAAGTGGTCCTCCTCTCCGCATCTCTCCTTTCTCTGTGGCTACAAATCTGAGGAGTTAATGAAAACAAATGAAATTCCACACCGGCACAAAATTGTTTCTTTATGGCCATTTGGAAAGCAGGTTCTTTTGGAAGAGATACCACATGTTTAATTTTATTCATTTACTTCTGTGCATTTATTTAATTACTTTACATATAACTGCTACAGTGTTACTTATCCTGGCTTGGTCCACATTTCTTACTTTCTCCAGTTATAATAGTTCATTGCCTCATTAATTTACGTAGCTCAGTGGCTCTCCTGACAAAGAGCTGTGTTTATCAAACTTTCCCATTTTTATTTCTCTCAAGCCTTTAATAAATCATTCCCTGAAATGCTGGTCAGCACAAAGCCGAGGTAATGTAGGCTCTCCATTTAACCTCATCTGATATAGCTAGTTAGGACTAAACTAATCAATAACTATAAAGAAGTACGTGAATTTGAACATAAATATAAACATGCTACAGTCATTTCAAATTAAAAAACATGCCTGCATTTTTCTTAGGTTAATATTGATGTGACCCTAGATGGTCTGTCAGAAAGATAATTATTTATTCACTGGTAAATGGATCTGTATTTTATGTGATGGTTTTAAGCACTTCAGATCCACACTTTTCATAGCTTTTAATTTTTAATCCAAGGGATTCCCAGGCCATCTGGCCCCAATCTCCCTTTGTAGTGCCCATCCTGTCCTCTCCTCTGGTTCCTCATCATCTTCTCCTCTATTCCATACCCTTCCTGAAGGACAGGAAATTCCCTGCTTACTCTGTGTTATGCATATGTGACTTTGGCATGGAGTGTCTCTCACGTCCCTCACACTCTTGATTTTGTGCCTTTGGGGTTCATCCATCTTCAGGCACCGCTCAAGGTTCATCCCTTCCACCAATCCTGCCAGTATCTCCTGCTTCATCTCTCTCACAATGGTGAGCACTGCATCTTATTACAGCCCATATCTACGTCTGTCCTTGTGTCATAACTTTTTCGTCTTGTTTCATTTCATGATTATTTCCTGCTCCTACAGGATAAGTTAATTGAATTCAGAATTCTCGCATGCACCTCTGTATTCCCAGTATAAGGCTTGGCACAAAGTAGGCATTCAATAGATACTTGCTGGATGAATGAATAAATCCTACTTCAAACAGTTTGACCTGATGCATTTCTACTCTCAATAACATTAGTGTCTAGCACTTGATAACCTTTCGGCTTAGACCAATTTGACAATTCAGAATAAAGTTGCTCAAAAACATACTGGCATAAGGAAAGGGCAGTCATCAGCTCTGCAGAGCTTTGTGACACAGTGCAGGAAGACGGTCGACATTTTCTGATTCTTGTGTTTTACAAACCGGAACACTTCAAAGGAAAATCGGCCCTGCTGGCTTCTGCCATTTTCAATGACGGTGGTCTGAGGATCTTTGTCACAGCTACATTTTAGGAAATGTGAAAACAGTATATTACTAAAAATTACCAGTCCACTGGGACTTGTCAAAAAATTTCCGCAGTGTTAAGAGTACCCCACTACATTAAGAGCCAACAAAATCATGTCATGTTATAGACATTGATTAAGAGACTAAGCTAACTCAATAGTATGACAAGAATGAGCTAGATCATAAAACATAAATAGGTCAGTTTCTGATTATAATATTATTGTCAAAAGTCAGAGGTAATTTCACATGGTAAAAATCCAAAAAGTATAAGTATACATAGTGAGAAGTCTCCTCCCCTCTTTGATCTTGCCCATGCCATTCCCATCATATGCAAGTCTGCCGGAGGTGATCTCACGTGCATTGCACCCTCCCAGGGTCTGTGCAAACAGGAGCACAGACAATATACTTTTATTGTTTTTCTTCCTTTTTAAATAAAGTAGAGCACAGTCTATATATTTTTTTGCATCTTGCCTTTTTTTAAATTTAGCAATGCATCATAAGAAATCTTCCCATATCTTCCTGAATACTTAGTGAACCTCCTCATTGTTAATCTATAGCTGTATAGTATTCCATTGTGCACGTGTGCCAGTTTATTTAGTTCCCTATTTGTGTATCCTTGAAGATTTTGCTTTTTACAAAGTAAGTAATAAGTAGCTTAATAATATAGCATTTTGAACATGTGCAGGGTATCTGTATAGTATATCTGTGCTTGCCACATTGCCCTCTATAAATATTGTTACATTTCCTCAGTAATGTATGGAAAATTCTTATTTTCTCCTAGAGATACATACATCAACAAAGCCTATGGAAAAAGTTTGTATTGTTCCTTGTTAGATAGGAAAAATAAACTATCACTATACAATTTTAATTTTTCTTTGTGGGAATGAATATGTTCATCTTTTCATATACATTAAAGCCACTTGGTGTCTTTCCTTTTTTTTTCTTTTAGAGAGAGGGGAAGGGAGGGAGAAAGAGAAGAGGATCATCCATTGGTTGCCTCTCATATGCACTTTACCCGCAGCCCAGGCTGTGCCAACATTTCCCTTTGTGGGACAACACCCAGCCAACTGAGCCACACTAGCTGGGACCACTCAGTGTTTCTTAATCTTAAAATTATCTATGTCCTTTGCCCAAATTTCTATTGCTGGCCTTTTCTTTCTGATTCCTACATGTTCTTTATATGTTAGGGAGACAGGATCCTTGCTTGTTATATAAGTTGCATGTTGTTTTATTTTGTTGTTTGGCATGTTGTTTGTTGTTTCCCTATGCTATGTGTGTGCCTGCATGTGTCCACACACACAGTTTACTTTTATGTTGTTTTCAATATTTTATTTTATGGCATCTAGTATTTGGGCTGAAGACAGATTTTCCTTACTCCAAAGTTTTAAAAATATTTCTTATATTAGTATGAATATTTTCTTCTATCATGTTTAAAACTGTAGTTTGTACACTTAAATTAATAATCTATGTAATGTTTATTATGGTGTATTGGGTGAAGTATAGGTCCAGTGCTTTCTTTTTTTTTTTTTTTTATGGTACCCATTATCCAGCACTATTTTAAAAATCTCTGCTTATCCCATTGGTTTGTGCTATCACAATCTACCATATAGTAAATTCCCACACGTTTTGGATCTATTTCTCAGCTTACTACTCTAAATTTGTGTCTATGTGTCTAGTCTTGCAAAGTATCACATGTTTAAAAATAATTTTAGAGCTTTTATTAAGGATAGTATCTAGTAGGGCCATATCTTTCTCATTTCATGTTTTGTTATTTTTTTATGGATTTGCCCTTTGTTTCTTTTTTCTTGATTAGAACAGCTTGTGATTCTCTATTTTATATTTTTTCAAAGAACTTGCTCTTTATTTTTTACAAAATGTTGAGTCATATTTCCATTTCTGGTCCAAGGGTTATTTAAGAGTTTTAAACTTCCAAGTGGTGGTGACTTTCTGTTTTTTGATATTTTAAATTGCTAGCTATCGATACATAGCTTATTTATTATGTCATTTAGATCTTCTATATCCTTACTTAATTGTTGGCCACCAGAAGTAAGTTTCCTGAGAGAGGGTAATTATTCTCTCATTTTTATTATGTTTCTGACTATGTCTTTTTATAGTTCCCCTAGTTTCCACTTTATGAAAGCTTTAGTACTATCCAAGGTATCTTTTCAGTATGTTGATATAAATTTCTTTTAATTTAGGGAAGTATTTCTGGATTATATTTTTAAATATTTGTTCTATTCTGTTATCTTGGTTTCTCTTGGGGGATCCTGCTTATGCATATTATACAGGTATTGGATTCTTTTTGCCACATTTTATTTCTATTGCTTCTACTTTAATCCTTTTTAATCTTTTCCTTTATGTGTGTTTCTTGTTAATTGCATTTCTTATTTTTATCTTCTCTGTCCCACATTATGTTTTCTGCTGTGTCTATTCTCCCTTGCACACCATCTAATTATGTATTCCATTCTGTATTCCATTTGCTTTCTCTATTTCATCTGAAATTCTTCCATTTCCCTTTACACATTCTTGTCGCCTTACCTTTTACTGACCTACTATTTCTTACCTGAGTTCTTACAATTGTATCGTTATAACTATAATTACTCTTTAAATTGTAAAACCAAATTTTTGTTGAAATGTTCAATTACAAGTCTATCTGTTCCAGGACAACATTTTCCCAGTGAATTTAATTCATCTTTAAATTTTTTTCTGCTATTTTCCACATTTTTTCTTGTAGTATGCAGGAACACTGCCACAAATGGCTTCATTTGTTTCCCATTCATATTTGAAAGAGTTGGAGTTACCTAGACCTGTTTTTTTCAGAAACTCCTAGGGCAATGTGGAATGTTAATAACCTTCCTCAAGGGTTTCCTCAATTCAAGGGCTTCTTCCTGTTATCCAATGACAGGAAAGTTTTCTTTCAATGGGATGTAATTGAGTAACTGAGTTTTCTCTGTCTCTCTGACTTAAAGATATTTATAAGGGTATCAGGCCTGTGTTTCTCAGATTTACTCATGAGTTTATTTCACCATTTTCTCCTAATCTTAACTGCTTTTATCAACATTAACACATATCTTGGAATTTCTATGGTTTTTCTTTCCTTCTAGTTTTACTGAAAATGGCATTTGGGGGACTTCTTTTAGCTATGCATTTCTCTCTTCTTTAGTTTCCACAAGAAACCTGAAAAGACTAAGATCTAAGCTAAAGCTATAGTCATACCAGATATAAATCTGAAAATTTTATTCCATATTATCAATTTGCGATTAATGTAGACATTTTGGGAAAAGAAAATTGTCAAAACCAAATCATCCACAATTTCAACCCGCATAAATAACCACTGTGAACCTTTTAATGCATATCTCCTCACAGTCTTTTCTACCATATATGTAATAATATGATGTCAATTGTACATGCAATTATATGCTGATTTTTTTCATTTCATATTTAATAGATTTAAATTTTAAGAACTATATATTTCTAAAGATAGAAACCTTAAGAAGACAGAAAGGGAGAAAATAAAAGAGAACCCACATTTTTTCCTAAATTCTTTTTTTATATCTTTTCTAAATAATTATGTGATTGCTGTGCCTGTGTGAGCTCTCAATTTAGTGATTCTCCACAATTCACCTAGACACTTATTTATTGCTGAACATCCAGTGTGTTCCCATGTTTTACTATTTAAATAGCACTGATAGACCAGGAAATTATAAATATTTTAGAATATGTTTTCTAAATTGTAAACACAGAATCAAAGAACATGAAATCTTTTAAGGCTTTTGATAGATTCCTCCAAAATTTTTCCCAAACTAATACTTCCAGTTATACGACGTGAATATCAGTTTGACCATGCCCTCTGAACATCATCATAATAGTGATTAGCCAATAAAACATTCTTTTGGTTTCCCATCATATCACTCCCATCATGTGTCAATAAGCGGCAGTGATCTGAGCCAACTGCATTTTGTAAGCATGATTACAAGCCATTGCTTGACTCTCAAGTCTGTTCTTCTGTCAGATAAAAATGCTGAAAGAGAACTGAGATGATTGAATGTTTTTATGATCCATGCTCCCTTTCCCCAAATGTAGATTACATTCACTCTATCACTGTCTTTTGGGGAATGAAGTTGAAGTTATTGGCTCTGATAAAAAAGAAGTAGTAGGCTATTTCATACTTTCATATTAAATACTGATAAAAGAAAAAAAGCATTTTGGGGTCTAAATTATCTAGACCATTGCTTTAATTTTACTCTCCTTTTGACATGCGATTAGACAGTCTAGCTGTGGATAAATAATACCCTCCCAGTGCCTTTCTCTTATTGCCAATAACAGCCTAGCCATACTTTTCCTAGTATAGTGAAATATTCCCATATGACCTAACCATGAATAAAACATCTTTGATAAAACTAACTTACTTGCAACTCTCATTCAACAATAGCCTTATCAGCATTTTGTGTTGAGAACTGTTCTCTACTTTTGTACTTCCAGCTTTATAAGGACTAAAATTTCAAAATGTAAAACTTTAAATTTAAAAACTATAAAAGTACCCTATAATTTGTTTCTCTGACTTATATTTTCTAATTGAATTATCTACAGTTGGGTCTTTGCTATCAATGAATAACTTAGACACCTACCTAAGGAAGAGATCATACCGTGTATCATCATTTGGGTTCCCTGATGGGGTTGTGTAGCAATAATCCATGAGGACATTCCATCTGCAGGAAGAGGCAAGCATGATCTAGAGTCAGAACCCCTTCTGGGTGTTAGTTGCTAATCTAGGGCAAGTGAATATTGACAAAGGTCTTACCCCATGAAATACCATTAGTTATTTGCAGAGGATTCTTATTTATTAAAATATTCTCCTAAACTGAAATATGTTTTAAAATCTGCAGTAAAATGATATCCTGCATCAAACAAGGTTAAGGCTAATAAATACACACAAACACACACACAGGTTTTGTACAAGGCAGATGAATGGTAAAAGCCGGAGGAAACAAACCAAAAACTGAACTGCATAGCTGTTTCTAAGTTCACTGGGAACAATGGCTTTTTGTTTCCATAAGTTACTATAGTCTCTAACAGATGACAAAGGATATTATAATCCCACATACAGCAAAGGAGTCTGGTGCATAAATTATGCACTCTAACTTATGCCAGATTCAGTGGGGGCGGGAGTCCATATAGACACTGGGTTAAATATTTAGGAGAAAGCCACAAGGCAAAGACACAGCCTTCCTCCACAAGGCCAGGTTGTACCTACACTTACACATTACTCTATTCCAACTTTGGTGTTAGAAAAATTACTAGTCCATGGGAACAGAATGCCAATAAAGAGAAAAAAAAAACCCCTCTGCATTTAGGAAGGCTATTTTTAAAAAATCACATATATCCAAGAATAAAGATACCAAGAAGACACAGAGGGAGAAGCTAAAGTAAAACCAAATTTCTAGAGTATACTAATTTCTTCAGGATATGAAGTATAAGTAATAATATGTAAGAAACCCAAAATAAGTCATATCATGCTACAATTTTTTATAGGGCACGATTAGATCTTTAGCTTTTAAATTCCATTTTAAATTAAATGATTTTAATTTAAATCATTTAATTAAATCATTTTAAATTAAATGATTTTAACTGATCATTCTGAATTTTCTAAGGATCATATGAAGGCTGAATAATAATTATTATTTTTTTTTGGCAGAGATGTTGCTGGGGATTGTTCTATATAAATTTGGCCCAGATCCTTACAGAGAGAGTTCTTTGGTTTTTTAATAAATGTTTTATTGAATAGTAACGTAGAGATAGAAAAATGCACAAATCATAAGTGTCCATAAAATGACTGCATTTGATTAATCAATTTGCAGATGAAGAAAATAGAACATTCTGTCATTCCAGAAGATGTCTCATGCCCTCTTCCAGTCACTACCCCTCCATTTTTATGGGAAAAGTTGTTATTTTCCAATTAATGACATAAAATGTGCATCACCCTTAATCTTTGTAATTTGTTATTTCTGTTTATTAGCATGCCTAAATGGTATGGTAATGACAGTATATTTGAAATTAAAAATGAACAAGCTAACTTTCTGATTCATGAGATTTTAGGCAGCCAAATGTTTTAACCAACAAAAGATGAGTTTGAAAGTACCTGCCGTCCAGGTTGGTGGCTTGCACAGCTGCAAATACTTTGGTTTTTAAAGGTAATCCTATACTCGGGATAATTAACTGCTGGCTGTAGGTTGAATCCTAATGATGAAAAAGTAAACAATCCATCATTACCTTTTTAACAACAGCATATTTACCACTTAAAACCATAATGTCATAAAAAAAGATGGACAAATCAACATAAATCTACCAAACCAGCTCCATAAAGGACCTAGTTAATCTTCTAGTTCTTGTCAAAACTGTCTGAAACCATATCCAAGTAACAAATTCCATGTATAACCCAGCTTACTATACATGATGGTAAATTTTCAGTGTATTTAAATTATACACAATTGTTAATAGTCAATCATTAATGTGTTCTTTGTTTAATGTTCAACTGTCAATATTCAGTTTACTTAAATTAAAATTCCAATTATTTAAAAAGTTTTTTTTTAATTATATCTGTTTTAGTTTAAGCCTCTCACCACTGGAGTTGTGTATCTTTATAGACTTAATAATATTTACCCCAAATTACTTATCTGGCAATTTGAAGTTACAAAATTTAATAGAAAACCAAAAAATGAGACCAACATGTTCTCCAAGTTGCCAAAAAGCATGCCATAGAGTTTCAGAACAAAATTTATTGGTGGTTACTTATAGAAGGATAGATACCTGAGAACTTGATTTTACCTTTTTATCCTTATTTGACATTCATTCTAGAGAGCTATTTGTATCATTCCCCAATGTGCAGTAGATTAAAGTAGCAGATTACAGATTGAGAAGTGACTTCTTCAATGTGTTGATAAAGAAAAAGGAGACCAAAAAATGTGGAATGCAAAAAAATTCTAAAAATGTAAGCTGTCAAATCATTTAGTCTGGATGCAAATTGTTTCCCCCAATTCAGTAACTCTGAAGGTATTGTTTTGCAGCAAAGGGAAGTATTTAATGTTCATTATGAAACCTCAAAGTCATCAAGCAAAGCAAAATACAGAGCATACTCTGTTTCTGAAGGCAGGAAAGAAAGCAACAGACTTTGAATTTTTGAAATTAAATCACTAAAGTTTTGTATGCTTCACTTTTGAAAAAGCTGTATTCATGTGGAATATTTCATTCCCAAATAAAGCAGATAAATGGGGGATTATATGCTGTACTTATTTTCTGTATTTCTGTGATAAATAATAATAGTTTCTTTTCCCATTTTGGTAGGTATGTTTGTTTAATTATTTTTATGGCTCTCTTTTCCAACTTCTCCAAGTAATCCATTCTTCATTAACTATACAAAACTTTCTTCTTATATATGCATCAGTATTGTCCAGAAGAAACTTCTTTACAGGTATTATATTGCTAAGTCACTTGCAAATTATGTGGCTCAGTTGAGGTTTAACTATGAACTATTAGGTTTTTTTCTTCTTAAAATTGCTTCTAACAGGTAATTAGCTAACTTTATTTTGGATTGTTGCCTTTACTCTTCTTAGTAAAATACTGTCCCTAAAATAAATTACATTTATTTTAGAGTTTTTTCCTTCAACTTTCAAAAACATTCAGAATTAATATAACTTTATATCAAACTTACTATTTTTGTGTCTGTTCAGATGACTAATATTTAGATACAATTCAAATTCACAAGGCCATCCTCACTTTCCATTTCAGGAGAGAAGAAAACTGACATATTTATATTTCTCAGAAATAAGGCCACAGTTCCATTTGAAGCAAGCCTCATATATGGAAATAGCATAATCAATACAATCCTTACTTGTTTTCTGATAAATTTTCCTAAGTATATTTACTGAATTCCAGAATACATAGGAACAAACCGTTGCACTGAATCCAAATAAGGTAGTTACAACTTTCCTTTCTAAATGAATAACCAGAGAATAAGAATAGTAGGTATGTAATGCAACTTTTCATCATTCCTAAAGGTTAGATATGAGAAGCTGCATGTGAAATAGGAAAGCATGGCCCCTCATGGTCGTGAAAGAATATTTAATTTGAAATGCTACAATAAAATTACATTTAGGTAGCTAAATGTTAGTGTCTAAAACAAATAATAAACATGATTTGCGGTCAATTAGTGAAAGTATAGTAAAATTTTTTTCTATTATAAATTACTAGTTTTTTAATGTCCTATCACATGGCAAAATACAATGATGGTACCATGTTAAAAAAAAAAAGTAGTTTGGAGCAGTGAAACTTTTCTGTAATGATGGACACATGTCATAGACATTTGTTGAAATCCACACACAGAATATACAACATTAAGAGTGAACTTAAATGTAAATGATGGGCTTCAGTTAATAATATATCAATATTGGTTTAACAACTTTAATAAGTATGTCCCATAATAAAATAAGAACGTGGGTGCAGGCAGAGGAGGCCTGTATTTTCAGATCAATTTTTCTGTATTACTTAAAACTGCTCTAAAAAGTAAAGTCAGTTAATTTAAAAAATAGTTTGTGGGGAAATGGTTGAATTCTATTAAATAACTGGTTAATAAATGTCTTTTAATATTCAATTTAATTTTTATTCAATCATTAACTATACTTTTATTGCAGACTGATTAAAGATGAGAAGTGTGTGGGCACTATTTCATTGAGAGTCTGATATCCAACAATTTATCTCACTATAGAATTAAAATCTTAAGGTTATCATTAAATTACAGGCTTTTGTTTAGCATTAGGATTCTAGAAAGTCTTTGAAGGATTATGCTTGTTTTCATTTGCTGTGCAAAAACTTTTTAGTTTGATGTAGTCTCGTTTGTTTATTTTTCCTTTTGTTTCCCTTGCCTGGGAAGATATATCAGGTAAAGTATTGCTACAAGCTATGTCCAAGATTTTGCTGCCTATGTTTTCTTCTACTATTTTTATGGTTTTGGACAATAAGTCTTTAATCCATTTTGAATTTATTAATGTGTGTGGGGTAAGAAGGTGGTATAGTTTCTTTTTCTGCACATATGTGTCCAATTTTTCCAACAACATATTGAATAAAATATTTTTATTTCATTGTATATGTTTGTTTCCTCTATTGAATATTAATAGACTAAAAATGTGTGGGTTTATTTCTGGGCTTTCTACTCTTTTCCAATGATCTGTGTCTGTTTTTATGCTGTTCTGATTACTATGGCCTTATAGTATAGTTTCATATTAGGCAGCTTGATTCCTCCAACTTTGTTCTTCTTTCTCAGGATCACTGTTGCTATGCAATGCCTTTTGTGGTTCCATACAAGTTTTTGGAATATTTGTTCTTGTTCTATGAAATGCGTTACTAGAATCTTGGTAGGAACTGCATTAAATCTATAGATTGCTTTGGGGAGTAAGGACATTTTAATGATGTTAATTTATCCTATCCGTGAACACAGTATGTGCTTCCATTTATTTGTATCCTCTTCTATTTCCTTCTTCAGTGTCCTATAATTTTCCAAGTATAGGTTTTTACAGCCTTGGTTTGGTTTATTCCTAGGTATTTTATTCTTTTTGAAGCAATTGTGAATGAAATTGTTTTCTTATCTAGTTAACAATGGGACAATTATATTATTTCTAATGATAAAGAAAAATTTTAACAGCAAAGTTCTCCTCAAATTCACACTTCTAAATTTTTATTTTCAGCTTTTACAGTGACAGAATAGTTTAATTTCACAGAAAATAATGATGTCATTAAATAGCCTGTTGGTATATTTTTCACTTTTTTTTTAAGATCAAGAATTGTCCCTGTTTCACTCAATTATAACAAATCATATTAAACCCACATAACTCAGGGAGCTTACACATATAAATGAACAAATAGAAATTTTTCAATTTAAAAACATTGTTCACAAAAATAATAATTATCTGGTCATATTGGGAATGAATATTGGCACATAGGGGTAAGCAAAAGTAGGTTTATAGTAGTGAGTATGCAAAACAGTTTATTCTTATATTATCAGTTATTAATTATTGTATCATTCTCCATACAAACAACTGTTTAAACCTATTTTTGCCAACCTCTGCATTTGCTGAGACTGTAAAACCAACAAACTTGGCAGCTTCTTACATAAGAAAGTTTAGAAGTGACAGAAAATCATACCAACAAAAGCAATCCATTCCGACACATTTTAATTTGTTGCTTAGAACTCTGTGGTATCAGACTACAAACTTATAAACATGATTTTAAAAAAATACCTTTGGAAAATGTTCTACTACAGTATTTATAGCTCATTATATTCAAAGTACAACACACTGACTTTTAAATCAGTTGCGTGAATTATAACTCAGTGCCATGATGCCATGAATAATACTGTAAAAATCAGATTCATAATTTACACAAATGGTTGATAGATTGAAAAATTGATATTTAAATCAGACATTTAAAATGTATGAATAAAAATTTTAATCAACATGAAAATATCATTTAAAGGATTAATGTTAGAGTTATAAATAGAAATTCATGTATTTTTCACAATTTGCTGCCACTATTGATATTTACATGACGAAAGTTTAGACAGTACTATGTAGTCAACCCAAATTATTTCAAATGTGACAGAATTGACATTAATCAAAAGCCATATTAAAAATATTTAACACATTCATCACCAAGCTTGCCTCCAAAAGTATTATTTGGACTTCTCCTAAGTTTTTATCATAAAAATATTATTTCCCAAATCTTGACTCTGACCATGGCTGCACACACATACACACATAAATAAATATATACATTTAACAGGAGATAGGCACTTGAAATAACTGCAGAATCCGAATCACAATTATGAAATAAATTTAAATTATTTATCAACTTTTAGGAAATAATGATGTTTCTATTATATCTTTATCACTAAGGATATGAATATGGTAAGAAAGATAGATAAATGTTAGCAAAGTGTAATGAGGTTAATGTGGTTTTCAGTAGGTTTTAATGTAAAATGCATTCACATAAATAGTTCCTGAGAATGGTAAGAGAGAAAATAACATCTCTCACCCATCAACTTACATTATAAAGAAGCAAGTTCAAAGTGCTTACAAATGTACCATTGTTCTCTCTCACAGATATAGCAGCTGAGGACCTAAAACAAAGTTACAAAAAAGAAAAGCATTGAAGAAATTTTAAATTAAAAGTTTCAGCTATCCCTTAATGTTGTACTTCAAGCACTGAAATTCTTGAGTAAGCCTGACATACTTAAGTAGGCTTGGAGTAGGCATGTGGTTTAAATCACTACAGGTAGACAATCAAAGAGAAAGTGTAGTCCAGTAAAATCAAATTGCTCTTTATGATATTTTTATTTATAAATATATCTTATTTCTATTTTGTGTTATTTATATGAGACTTTTTGTAGAAAAACTTCATTCTAAAAGAATTTGAATCTGATATGAATACAATTTCATCAGTTCCATTAAAATAGAAGTTTCATGAGATCAGGAATTTTGTTTCACTTTGTTCACTGCTAGAATATTGCATAGTACATATAGATGTATGATAAATATTTATTAAATAATTGAATGAGCTCTGACTGGTGTGGCTCAGTGGACTGAGTGCCGGCCTGCAAACCAAAGGGTCACTGGTTCAATTCCCAGTCAGGCCTCAGTTGTGGGCCAGGTCCCTACTAGGGGACGCGCAAGAGGCAACCACAGATTGATGCTTCTCTCACTCTCTTTCTCCCTTCCTTTTCCTCTCTCTAAAAATAAATGAAATATTTTAAATAATAATTGAATGAATGTCCATGCATAGTGAAACTCAGGTATATGTTTAGTGGAGAAGTGGGGAGTGGGTAGAGTAAGAAACTATAACACCCTAATGACCTACTTTCCTCTACACTTATACCCTTTAGACCCAAGGCCTTTCTTTTCTTCTTTTCCACATTAAAAACTTACTTTTGACCAAGATGGTTATAATTGTTGTGTCATTAAAACTAACTATGAATATTTTTTTATCTGAAGCAAAATGTGTTCTTCACTTTCCCTTGTAACTAAGATTAAATAATAATTACACCTTTGTAATAACAAACCCTAGAATTGAAGAGGGAAAGTGTTAACTCAATCACCCCATTTTTTAAAAAATATTTGACAAGTCTAAATGACTATTTTGTAATGTGAATATAACTCTGTCTTGGAATATGTGCTTTGGCAATAATGAATAAATATATAACTGCAAACAAACACTATGACCTCGGTGTATATCTAGAAATCTTTTGCTCTGGGTGATGCCACCTTTCTTGGGGAATCATCAGTCCCTGTGCAGGTGACTCCTCAGTAGAAGGAACTGAGACCCCAGACAGTGAGACAGCAAAATACAGCAATGAGGGCATATGGCAGAGACTGAAGCCAAGTAGGCCACAATAATGTAGTGACTGGATGTACTACACACTGGAAATATGACAGGCCCTTCTGTGCTGCGTAAGTGCCCAGAGTTCTTAGGTTCTTGGGCAATTCTGAAGGGTGCGAGGAGACCCCAAGGCAGTACCTGATTAGTTTGAGCCTGGTTTACTTTGGGGGAAAATATATATAATAAATATGTAAAGTATAGAGTATATATTGTATCTCTTGAGCTATTGATGTGGCTCACAGCAATTTAGATGATAGATGATAGATAGAAACTAAAGACTTAATAGGGTTTTCATTACATTAGTTTGGCTACTTTCAATAAATCCTTCTAAATAAATCTCTATAAATCTTTATAAGTCCCTTCAGGGTAAGAAATGACTCAAACATAAAGACAGAATGAGACACCAAGAATATAATGAAAACTTACGAAGCAAGCTGTGTATTATTAACCAGGTATTCCAATGGATAACTACAACTAAATTTGTAAAGAAGCCCAGGTAGATAGCTGATGATTGTTGGTGGATCTGGAGTGTCAATATATCCTGAAATATTTCCTATTTGTACTGAAGTTGTGTTTCCATAAGCACTGACTCCAGGAACTGTGGATACCTGTTAGAATGGTAGATCAAGGTCAGTGTTTAAATATATATATATATAAATCTAGCCATTTCATATTGAGAATAAAACATTAGACTAGATCATTTCTAGACTGTCTTTCGAATATAAAATACCATGATTTGGAGATTAAACAAACATAATGCTATCTTTACGTGATTATATATGTCTTAACTAAATAAAATTTTATATTTACCAAAGACAGTTTACAAAAAAAAGGAGAGAGATTATATGTTCAGAGTGCTATAACAAGTGATTTGAAAATGTTCATGATAATTCTCAATTCTGTGGCATGGTATCAAATGCCACTATTAATCTGATCTTGCTGCCTACTTTAGCTTCATAGCTCCAGGCTCCACTTTTGTTAATAATTCTCCAGCCGCAAAGCCCTCCTAGCTCTGGCCTTTGAACAGACTCCCTCTGTTCCCTCTTTCCCCCACTTCACCATAACATACTCTACTCCTCCGCTGGATCTCATCTTCCCTGGGAAGCTTCTGCCTCCCCCACGCAGTGCCTGGCTCCATCATAGCGGTGGTCGCGGTGCACAAGCAGCCTGCTGACCTGGCCGTCCCCCCAGCCATCATCAGGCCCCCTTGTTCACCTTTGCATCTTCAACGTAGCGCAGTGAGGCCAGCATCTGGGGGCTCCCAAAGTCAATTATGAAGACAAGATTTAAGGTTATAAATTTTCTGAGAGTCAACCTTCTCTGTCGGTTTTCCTGTGTGGCACATGGAGAGTTCCATCTCCTTCCAGGGCGATAGTTCATGCACGGGTTTCACGGGGATTGTGAGCCCCCAGAAGTTATAAAATAGTGTTGTCTAGGTATGTGTGCATTTTCCTGGGACTTAGGAGCTTTCATTCTATTCCCCAATCCCACTAAAATGTAAGAACTACCATTTTAGGAAAAATCGATAATATTCTAGACCTTCATAAACCATAAAGGAATACAGCTTCTTTCACTATGTCAAATACCCATATGACACTCAATAACTTTTAGCACCTATTATGGAGACCTATAATACTTAATTTTTAACAGTAGAATAAACGTTATGCATGAACCTAGGAGCAGATGGGCAAAGCTGAGGCAATTATCTAGCTAATTCACGAATAGAGCTAGAATCATTATGAAGGAAAACATTTTTATTCTAATTTAGTGATTTAGTAGTCTACTTAATTTTCCCCATGTAATATTGTCCTTGGAACAGACAAGAAAGCTGGTGACATCTAAGACAAAAATAGAAAATACTCAGATCCTGCTCCTCTCTCACCATGTGCCTGACTGGCTGGCTAAATATAACAATTCTGTCTGTGAAATACACACACGCACAGAACAATTTTAATACCAGAGTTATTGCTCTCTGTAAAAAGTAAAAGGCACACACACACACACACACACACACACACACTTTGCCTGGCATTCCATGTGAATTGTTTCGTAGGTAGCAGGGCAAGACAAATCCAGAAAAGAAAGCTTGGAAAGGACTCGGGCTGTGGTGGGAGGAGAGGAAACGCTGCTGCTCACCACATGGGCTCCCTCTCCCGACAAGGAAACACAGACAAGTAATAATCAACCCGCATGACTGCTCCTTAGGCCCACTTCATAACGTCTGCACACAACTCAGAGAGATGAGTAAATGTTTTTAATAAAGAGTCAATGATCCTCACGCTGCAGGCTTGGAATGGTCATGGGTAAAATATTCTAGTTGACCTCTGGGAAAAAAATAAAGAAATCTCTTTTTCCTGTCACCCCTCTCTCACTAAGCCTTAAAAACTCTGCCCTTAGATTAGTAAACCTCCCCTCTTAATCCCAAACAATAATTTATAAAGAGGAAAGACCAATTTATCTTCCTTCACTAGACTAAGTGGTTATGCTGTTGTAGCTCCTTTTCGTCTTTGCTAGGATTTATCGATAAGATTATATTTAAACAGGCAAAATGAAAATAATACTAAATGAATTTTAGTGTGACACTCCCCAAATATAACATTTTTACTTCAATTAAATTTAATTCCTAGGAAAGTTAATGACTTATTCAATTCTATTTTTGGTGTTCAGTGCATGAATAAGCAAATGAATAGTGTAGACGAGCAGTTCTCATTCAGGGTGAACATATTTGAAGTGATGTTTTTATATTCTCAATGACTAGAGAGAGTGCTTCTGGGATTTCATGGGTAAGATTGGGAATGATAAACAATTTGAAATTCGAAGGACAGTCGCACACAATGAAGAATTTCACACCAAATATGCTGGCAGCACCCCCCTCTGCCTTTTTTTTTCAAAACACTGGTGTGAATTATTCAATGTTAACCATAAAACCTAGACAATTCTAAGTTTCCCATTCTGTATTTCATTTTTTTTTCTGAATGAGGTCACTAAGAAACGATAGTCCAAGTGATTCATTGTCAAACTCACTGGAACAAACAATTTTTGTATGATAAGATACTTTCATAAAAAGCATGAAGAACATAGCTAACGACATACTGTAGAGAAATATTCAACAATGTCACTCACACAAAATAATGTTGCTTAGGGCGGCACAACCCATCTCAGGCTCCTCAACTGCCCAGCTACAATAAAAAAAAGCATTTTTGGAAAATAAAATTGTATGTTCAGGGGCAGAAGCCTCGAGCAGGCAAAGGAAAATGATTTGTTCAGTTTTATTGGAATGTTTTCTTGAAAGATAGATTGAACTTCTGATTATTTCATGAAATGGGGAGTTTGCTTCTTTTTTTGAGTTATGACCCCAACCTAGCACACTATCTCACAGGAATCTTACCACTAAGTTATTGCCACAGCCCTCCAAGGTGCTGAGATTGATGATGAAAATAACCACTGCGGGAAAGGTGTTGTTATTGATGAAACCCCTGCAGTGGGAATCCCCATGCCTTCCGTTGAGGGCCAGATCTGTTTCAGAATAACCGGAGAAAAGGACGGTGCAAAAATTAATCTTCATTGTAATGGCCTGCACCCCACAGTAGACACTGATGTCTCGTTCAGCTGAAATAAAAATACATAAGAAACCAAACATAAGTCACAAATGCATAGTAGAGGATACAAGTGTAACTTTAACATCCCCTGATGTATTTATTTGCCCACCCCTCAATCTTTTTAACTCAGTCCTATATTTGAATATACCATAATCCAATGTGAAAGGTATTAAGAAATGTAGCTAGGAAAAGGAGTCTTTGATTTAGTTTAGGAAGTGATCATTAAGTATAGAGATTATAGTTCATCTCTGTTTGATATATAGTAGATATGCACTAAATGTTGGTTGAGTATCATCAAATGATTAGAGAATTTAGTGGAAAAATGTTACTGAGGAAGTTCAGAACTAAAGTAAGAAAATTATTCAGATCTCCTGTCTAGAGCAGTGAGACTCACCACAGCGATGCATTTTCCTAGTATAAGGAAAAAACAATTAAAATCCATCCTAAACCAAAATTGTTGAGCACTTTGCTATTTTGTAACCTATCTTATTTAGGATGTAGAAACAAAAGCCACCCATCAGAATTCCATTTTATGTTACTTATAGTAAATTACACTAGAGAAAGAAAATGAAAAAATAGTTTGCTGATACTGTAAACAAAAATGCATAGCCTACTCTAAATAAAACTTTGCCAGTCACCATGCCTCAATACAAGGAGCTCGCTATGAAAATGTAAGCACAATTGGCATAGTTTTCCATGACCTGGGTTATCAGTGATGAGATATGTTTTAGGTCTGTAGAGGTGAGCACGTGCACACACACACACACTCACATGTTTTTCATATCTCTGTTTATTTTTCTACATGTAATGAAGAAAATATATGTAGAAAATGGAGAGGTTGCCTGCTAAGTAAGTCGTCAGAAGCAGACGCTTTTACTTTTATTGGTTATGAGAACTGTTAAAAGTTGAATTGTGCCCCTCCCTCAAGAAAAAAAAGAAAGATACAGTAAAATCCTAACTTCTAGTACCTCAGATTGTGACCTTATTTGGAAATAGAGTTATTCAGATGTAATCAGTTTAGCTAAGGTCTTACTGGAGTAGGGTGGGCCTCTAATCCAATATGACTTGTATCCTAAGGAATTCCATGTGAAGAGACAGAAACACAGAGAGCAAGCCACGTGAATACAGAGAATTGGAGTGATGCATCTCTCAGCTAGGCAGCACTGAAAGTGGCCAGCAGACGGTTATCAGAAGCAAAGGAGAGCCAAGGAAGGCTCAGAGGAATCATAGCATAGTTCTGTTGACACTTTAATTTTGGACCTCTGACTTCCAGAATTGTAAAACAATACATTTCCAATGTTCTAAATTATCCTGTTTGTGGCACTTTGTTATGGAAGCTCTAGGAAATTAAAGCAGTAACCTTGCCACTTTTTTTAAAGTAGAGTTTTTAAAAAATTATTTTTAATTTATTAATTTTAGGCACAGGGAGGAAGAGAGAAAGGAGTGGGGAGAGAGAGGGAGATGGATTTGTCCCATTTATTCATGCATTCATTGGTTGATTCCTGCACATGCCCAGACCAGGGATCAAACCCACAACCTTGGCATATCAGGATGATGCTCCAACCGGCTGAGCTACCTGACTCAGGCAACCTTGCCACTTTCACCACTCTGATAAAAAATCTAAAACGTGCATTAGGTGTTCAGACTGTGGTCACAAATAAAATCCCAATAAAATTTGGCAAAACAGACTTGGTTGCTCAAAAGCAAAAAGAAAAACAAGAAAATTAAAAGTTATTTTTGATAAATGATAGGATTTTCACTTAAGTAAATTGAAGGCATTTGGCATAGAATTAGTTTTCTTAAACACTTCAGTTCCAACATAAGGGTAGAATTAGAAGTGTTCAAGGGTACCTTTCTTTGGAGTATTTGTTCTCTACACAGTTTTTTTTGTTTTTTGTTTTGTTTTTCTGGTAAAGTGAATCATATTTTGAGGATCTGAGTAAGTCAATATGGAGACTTCTATGTTTGGGTATGATTTTAAACTTATTACAAAACAAAGAAAATCTTTTCTTTATGGCTAAAAAGCTATGTTAGGCTAGCTATTATAGAAAACTACAAGCAATGTTCCCCCTTTAGGTAGAATGATAAAATGAATTCATTATATAGTACACTCGATTAAAATAGAAAATAATAAACATGATCTCAGTTGGGAGAGTATCTCCATTAGCCTTTAGCAAAGTTAATGTTTAAATGCAACCATGACTATTTTTATTATATTTCATTGATTATGCTATTACAGTTGTCTTAATTTTCCCCCTTAACTCTCCCTCGACCCAGCGTCCCCCACTCCCTCAAGCAATTCCCTACACTATTGTTCATGTACTTTGGTCATGCAAACATTCTTTGGCTACCCATTTTCTATACTGTACTGTACAGCCCCATAGCTATTCTATAATTATCTATTTGTACTTCTTAATCCCCTCGCCTCTTCACCCATTCTCCTGAACACACCTCCCATCTGGCAACCATCAAAATGCTCTCTGTATCCATGATTCTGTTTCTGTTCTTCTTGTCTACTTAGTTTGTTTTTTAGATTCAATTTTTGATAGGTATGTGTTTATCCATCTTATTGTTCATCTTCTTTTTCTTAAATAATTCTCTTTAACATTTCATATAGCAATGGTTTGGTGATGATGAACTCCTTTAGTTTTTTCTTGTGTGGGAAGTTCTTTATCTACCCTTTAATTCTAAATGATGTCTTTGCTGGGTAGAGCAATCTTGGTTATAGGTCCCTGCTTTTCATGACTTTGAATATTTCTTGCCAATCTCTTATAACATGCAAAGATTTTTTTTTTTTTTGAGAAATTATCTGATAGTTTTATGGGAATTCCCCTGTAGGCAACTAAATGTTTTTCTCTTGCTGCTTTTAAGATTCTCTCTTTATCTTTAACCTTTGGCATTTCGATTATGACGTGTCTTGGAGTGAGCCTCTTTCTGTCCATCATGTTTGGGACTCTCTGTGCTTCCTGGACTTGCATATCTATTTCTTTCACCAAATCAGGGTAGTTTTCTTTCATTATTTTTTCAAATAAGTTTCCAGTTGCTCTTTCTCTTTTCCTTCTGGTACCCCTATGATGCAAATGTTGGAATGCTTGAATTTGGCCCAGAGGCTGTTTACAGTATCCTCATTTTTTTTTTATTCTTGTTGTTCTGATTGGTTGTTTTTTTTTTTTTTTTTTTGCTTCCTTATGTTTCAAATCATTAATTTGATTCTCAGCTTCATCTACTCTACTGTTATTTCCCTGTATACTGTTCTCTATTTCAACTTGCATATCCTTCATTTCTGACTGGATCTTTTTTATGCTGCTGAGGTCCTCATTAAGTTTCTTGAGCATCCTTATAGCCAGTGTTTTGAGCTCTGCATCTGATAGATTTCTTATCTCCATTTTATTTAGTTCTTCTTCTGGAGGTTTGATCTGCTCATTCATTTGGCCCATGTTTCTTTGTCTCCTCACTTTAGCAGCCTCCCTGTGTTTGTTTCTATGTATTAGATAGAGGTGCTATGACTCTGTCTTGATAGCATGGCCTAATGTGGTAGATGTCCTATAAGGTCCAGTGGCACAGCCTCCCCTATCATCCAAACTGGGTACTTGATGTACACCCTTTTTGTGGGCTGAGTATAACCTCCTCTAGTAGTTGAGCCTTGGTTACTGTTGGCAGGTCAGTGGGAGGGATTTACACAGGCTAGTCAGCTGCAAGGACTAGCTGTGACCATTAACCACCAACCTTCGCCCTCCAAGGAGGATCAGCTGTACAGGAGCAGGGTGGTGGTGCTCTGATGTGTTCTGTAGCTGTCCACTGGGGATACATGCTCTGGGGTTTCCCAGGTGGTACAAGCGAAAGTCAGCCCCACATGTTTTTTGCCTGGGGCTACCCGACCTGAGTATACAGCAATTCGAGATGGCTACTACTAGTGCTGGACTTGGAGATTCCCAGGCAAAGTCAAGCTATAAATCTAGGCTAGTTGTCGCTAGTGCTGGGCCTGAGGCCCCTTAAACAGAGATATGGGGGCTGTGTACTTACTGAGGCTGGCTGATATTTGTTGGAGAGAATTTAGGGAGCTGTGAAGCATGAGCTAAGACCAGACATTCATATGGAAAAGCAGTTCAAGTGGGCCCATAAATTGGATGGAGGAGAACTTCTGGGAATCTCCAAGGCTGGCCAAACAGTGTTAGCCAGGTTGATGCAGTCTCAGATATGGTACTAGCCTGCCAGCTCTGTGGGGGGAGGGTTCAGAAAAGGGACAATGGCTTCTGTCCACCTTTCTATCTGGGAAAAAGCTGTCCCCCAGCTCTTGCCTTGACACCAGACACATCAGTTTTTCTCTGTATGCCTCCAGACCCTTTCAAGCTGCTACTCTGGTGCTGGAGCTCAAAGGAGGTGAGTCTGAGTTAGCCTGTGTGTGGGTTCTTTAAGAGGAACTGCTCGGGACTATAGAAGTTTCTTCCACTGACTCAATCTCTGCTGGCCTTGCAGCCAGAAGTTATGGGGGTTTATCTTCCTGGCACTGGAATCCTGGGCTGGGGGTTCCCAAGATACCTCTCCTGAATTTTTATCCACCACACATGGATGTGGGACCAGCCTGTTCCACATCTCCACTCCTCCTACCAGTCTGGATGAATGTGGTTTCTTTAATTCTGTAATTGTCAAACTTCCATTCAACTTGATTTCTGATGGTTCTAAGTGATGGTTGTTCTATATTTTATAATTTTGATGTGGTAGTTTGAAGAGGCAAGTTTTGCTTATCTATGTTGCCATCTTGACTGAATGTGGACCAATCCATGACTTTTTTTTGTCATTGAATTTATTGGGGTGACATTGGTTATAAAATTTTATAGGTTTCAGGTATACAATTCTACAATATATAATCTGTATATTGTATTATGTGTTTACTACGCCAAGTCAAGTCTCCTTCCAATACCATTCGTCTTCCCTTTTCTGCTGGGGACCACTTCGTGTGGTATCAGGAATTGTAGCCCCACACAAGTCAGGCTTGAAAGGGTCCTATAA